CTGAGCAGGGAGCCCGATGCGGGACTCGATCCCGGGACTCCAGGATCATGACCTGAGCCGAAGGCAGTCGCTTAACCGACTGAGCCACCCAGGCGCCCTAATTTACTGGATTTTTTAATTAGATGCCAATTTATTTCAGAAACTATATACACTGCAAGCAAATATTAAAGTAGCTAAATCTATTCACATATCATGATAAATCCGTATGATGGAATAGTACTCAGCTCACGCCAATAACATGAATGAAACAATGAAAAGTTGGAAAAAAAAAAGAGTATGCTCTGTATGATTCCACTTATACCAACTTCTAGAACAGGCAAAATCAACCTAGGGTAAAAAAAAACCAAATTGTGGTTGCCTCAGGAAAACGCTACTGATGGGAAGATGAAAGTGAGAAATGCTCTGTGTCTTGATAAGCATGTGGGCTACATGGGCATATCGATTTGCCAAAATCCTACAGCTAAAATGTGTATGCTTCAAAGTATGTAAATTTTACCTGGGAAAAACAAAGAACCATAAATCATCATGATCTAGTAGGAGATGCAAAGTAGGTAAAGATACAGACCACACAAGAATGGCAAACATGTTGATTACTGAAACTGTGTGACAGGTACAAAGGGGTTCATTACATGATTGGAGCATGCATGCGTGAGTTGGGGAGGGGCAGAGGGGAAAAGAGAATGAGCGTGCCATGGGGCTCCTCACAACCCTGAGATCATGACCTGAGCCAGAATCAGGAGTCGGGCACTGGGGTGCCTGGGTGGCTCAGTCGTTAAGTGTCTGCCTTCGGCTGTCATGATCCCAGGGTCCTGGGATGGAGCCCCGCATAAGGCTCCCTGCTCCACGGGAAGCCTGTTTCTCCCTCTCCCACTCCCCCTGCTTGTGTTCCCTCCCTCTCTCGCTGTCTCTCTGTCAAATAAATAAAAAATTAAAAAAAAAAAAAAAAAAAAGGCGGGCGCTAAACCAACTGAGCTAGCCCGGTGATGCTTAGGCTATTGAGATATGTCATCAAATTGCCAAAAATTATGGTAATTTCTATGTCCCCTTAATAGTGTGTTCCCCTTATTAGAATTTCTTTTCTGAAATTGTATATGTCATACAGTTCATTTTAAATAAATTTAGGAAGTACAGACTGGTATAAAGTATGTCTTCATGAAACAGTCTGAGTTATAGAACAGGTTGTTGTAAAAGATATTTTTAACAAGTTCTCATCACCTTTTTAAAATCTATGTAGAAAGATCTTGGTATGTAAAGATTATCTTATTTCAATGATAGAAGCTTCCTGACAATTTTTATTAACTAGAACTTTTCAGATTATAAAGCAAGAAGCTATGAATATAAAGAACACCATTGTGATAAAATGCATGGTTCTAGAAAATGAATACTCATTTATATTCTTTGTATACTCTGATCAAATACATATATGAAAATTTGAAAACAAACCTCTCAAGTAGTTTAGGAAAGTGATTTGGGCTAAAGTTCAGACCTTATTCATAGGTAACAGTTTTGAAAGTAGCTCATTTCTTTTTAACTAACTGTAATATTCCCTCTTTTATTCTGTTTTTCTTCCTTGGCAGATTTTAGAGCTCTCGTATCTTAGATAAAGTCCTTAAATCTTTATCCAACAACATCGGGGATTTGGGAATTTTGATTTGCATATTAGACAATGGATCATTATGTAGAAAGTCTAATATAGTAAAACATTAACTTGGATCCCACTCACCGAGATAGCAATTCTTAGTGAGTTAATATGTAAATAATGTAGACAATTTCTTTTTATGTCTGGCACATTTTTCCATGAACTTACCCTAATTTACTGAGGAGCTTTTTTTTTTAAAGCTTTTTCTTATGGAAAATTTAAAACATAAAATCATGTAATGAACCGCTTTGTATCTGTCACACAGTTTCAGTAATCAACATGTTTACCATTCTTGTGTGGTCTATATCTTCATCTACTTTCCATCTCCTACTAGATCATGATGATGATTTATGGTTCTTTGTTTTTCCCAGGTAAAATTTACATACTTTGAAGCATACACATTTTAGCTGTAGGATTTTGGCAAATTGATATGCCCATGTAGCCCACATGCTTATCAAGACATAGAGCATTTCTCATTTCCATCTTAAAGCCCAAAATATATGCAAATCCTTTTACCTAGCAATTCCACTTCCAGGAGTTATTTGTCTAAAGAAAATAAGAAGATACATACATGGAATTTGAGGGATACTACATACTCCAAATTCAAGGCCTAAGCCTGAATTTGCAAATCATCTCTCAGATATCTGCATGGCTTTATATATAACTTTATTTCAGGCCTTTTTTTTTTTTTTTTTTTTGAGAGAGTGAGCAAATGGGGGCGGGGAGGAAAGGCAGAGGGAGAAGGAGCAAGAAAAATCTCAAGCAGGCTCCATGCTCAATGCAGAGCCTGACGCAGGGCTCAATCTTACCACCCCAAGATCATGACCTGAGCTGAAATCAAGAGTCAGACGCCCAGCCGACTGAGCCACTCAGGCACCTCTTTATTTCAGGTCTTTGTTCAATCATTATTCTTCCACAATCTCTTTTAAAAAAACAGCACCTCTCCAGCTATCTTATTTTTCTTCATGTTTCATCACCTGACATATTAATGTGTCTATGTGGTGTGAATATATATACTCTCTCCCACCCCGACTCCCTCACCGTTACGTAAGGAGTAGAGACCTTTTTTTGAGACTTTTTTTTGTTTACTGTTCTACCTGCATCTCATTGGACACTGCCTGAGATATAATGACAATCTAAAGTTGTTGAATGCAGGAAGTTAACCATAGCATTATTTTATACTAATGAAAAACTAGAAATAATCTAAATTTCAATTCATGGATTCATTAATTAAAGTAACTGAAACCTTATTGGATGATCAGAGCAAGTAGTTGCTTAGTTAAGTTAAAGTAGGAGCTAGAAATTTGGTTATTGCTATACTCACCAGGGGTCTTGTTAGGTTCCATAATACATTCAGACTGACGAGACTACCACAAACATGCTTGGCCCAGTCTATTCAGAAAGATAAAGGACAGAACCATAATAGGCTGGCAGGGCAGCCTCAGGTGTCCCTCTTGGTGGCAATCCTTGCAGC